TCTCTCTCTTTCTCTCTCTCTCTCTCTCTCTCTCTCTCTCTCCCTCTCTCATACTGGGTTCTGAACCAAGGGTCTTTGCACTGACTTACACGCCCAACTTTAAAAATGTTTTCTTTTGAGACAGAGTCTCACTAAGTCACTAAGTTACCTAGGCTAGGCTCAAACTTGGGATCGCTTTCCTCAGCCTCGAAGAGCACAGGGATTACCAGCCTGCCCTGCTGTATTTTTTTATGCTTATTCTCCTCTTTTTCTGCCTTTTTGGGGGTCAGCAAATACTGCTGTTTAGTTTCAATTCCTTGATTGGCTTATTAGACTATTTCTTTGCATTGTTTTCCCCTAGATGTTTCTTCAGGAATTACCATATGCTTCCTTCCTGCATCATCATCTACCTTGAATTGCTATCTTATTACTCTGTATGAAGAGAGGAAAATTTATACCTGCACAACTCGAGCTCAGCTTGGGCAACTCAGCGACTCAGTGAGACCCTGTCTCAAAACATCAGAAAAGGGACTGGGGATGCAGCTCACTGCAAAGGCGTAGAGTTCATGCCCCAGAACCAAATAAGACAAACAATAAATAAAATAAATTTTAAAAGGGCTGGGAATATAGCTCATATTCTGACACCGAGCTGGTATTAAAATTTTTAGATAATCATGTATCTTTTAATGAAATTAAGGAAAAAGGAGAGAGAGAGAGAGAGAGAGAGAGAGAATCTCCCATGGTTTATTTCAGCGTCTCCAGGGTTGTTTATTGCTCACTGTAGACCTGAAGTAGCCTCTGGTCATCTCGAGCATTTCTCCTCAGGATGAGGAGCTCCTGTTAGCATTTCTTGTTGGGAGGTTTGTTGGCAGCAAGTTTTTTCAGTTTTCTTTATCTATAAATTATGGGGCCTTGAGGGGCTGGGGATATAGCTTAGTGGCACAGCGCCTTGCTTGGCAAGCACAAGGTCCTGAGTTCAATTCCCGGTACCAAACAAAAAATTATGGGGTCTCTTGGTAATTCCTTTAGTAAGATTTCTAGTCCCCTGCCTCCCATTATATAGTCTACATTTTAGAAGTAATCTTTTTTCCTCTTTTTATTAGTATGTGCTTGTGATACACAATCAATGCATCCATCACAGGGAATTGGAGATTTTATATATATATATCTCATATCTTGATCCTTTTCACTTCCCCTTCCTTCCTCATCTCCTTCCTGCCCCCCCCCCATTTCCAGGTGCCTGTCCCATCTCCACAAAGTCCATCTCCCTGCTTCCTTTCATCCACCTCTCACCTTGCTCTTTATTTATACTTTGGTTTCTCATATACATAAAACTATGTGATATTTAGCCTTCTGTGCCTGACTTATGTCACTTAGCATTAATGTCTCAGGATGCACCCGTTTTCCCACAAATGACTCAAATGTATCTCTCTTTATGGCAGAGTAGTGCTCCGTTGTGTATAAATACCACATTTCCTTCATCTATGATCTGTTGGTGACCACGTAAGCTGTTTCCAAGATGTAGCTGCTATGAGTTGTGCCGCCGTAACCAGGAGTGCTCCCGGGTCACTGTAATACGATACTTTTAACTCTTTGGGAAGATACCTAGAAGGGGAATAGCTGGGTCAAATGGAATTTCTATGTTTAGCTTTTTGAGGACTCTCCATACTGATTTCCATAGTGATTGTATTAGTTTACATTCCCACCAGCAATGTAGAAGGGCTTCTTTTTCCCCACAAGGTCAACAGCGTTTTTTTTTAAGCCTTAATGACAGTCACTCTCTCTAGAGTAAGATGGAATCTCAGTGTTTTTCTAATTTCTGTTTCCCTAATACCCAGAAATGCTGAACATTAACTATTTATACTTGTCTTTTTGAGAAGTGTCTGTTCATTACAACTGCTCATTTTTTATTGGGTCTTTCAATGTAAAGGGTCTAATTTTTTTTGTTTTTTTATTCCAGATATTAGTCCTCTGTCTGAGGAATAGCTGGCAAAAAAAAAAAAAAAAAATCCCATTCTGTAGGTTTCTTCCTGCGCTGTTGGTTGTTTCCTCTGCATTTAGATGCTTTTTAATTTGATAGGATCCCATTTGTTGATGGGTACTGTTACTCTTCTGCAGTTGCAGTTCATTCAAGAAGTTCTTGCCTGTACCCGTGTCAAGAATTTTTACCAAGTCTATGTTCCAGCAGACGCAGTGTTTCTGTGTCTATATCTAGGTCTTTGATCTGCTTTGGTTTGGTTTTGGTACAAAATAAGACATGTGGATCTAGATTCATTCTTCCACAGGTGGAGAATGAGCTTGCCCAGCGCTGTTTGTTACAGAGGCTGTCTTTCCTCCAGCGTATGTGTCTCGGCTCCTTTGTCAAAGATCGTCTGGCTGAAAGTACCTGAGGTTGTTTCTGTGTCCTCAGTTCTGTTGTTTTGATCCACACGTCTGTTTTTGTGCCAGTACCGTGCTGTTTTTTCTTCTAACCACTGTAGCGTTGTGATAGCACCTGAAATCTGGGATTGTGATGCTTCGTGCTTTGTGCTTGTTGCCCAGGACTGCTTTTGCTATTCTGGGTCTCTTCTGGTTCCATATAAGTTTTAGGACTATTTTTCATAATTCTGAGAAGAATCATGTTAATATTTTTATTGTGATTGCATTAAAACTATATACCATTTTTGGTGATAGGGCCATTTTGACAGCATTGGCTCTGCCTATTCAGGAGAAGGGAATGTCTTTCTATTTTCTCGTGTCCTCTTCAATCCCTTTTTTCCGAGAACTATACTCTGTTACAGAGGTCTTTCGCTGCTTTGGTTAGGTAAATTTCTAGGTACTTAATTTTTTAACCTATCATAAATGGTATTTTCCCGATTTCTTTCTCCATGGGTTCATGGCAGTATACAAAAACACTATTGAAGGGGCTGGGGATTTAGCTCAGCGGCAAAAGCGCCTGCCTGGCAAGCGCAAGGTTGTGAGTTCGGTTCCTGGTACCGGAGGAAAAAAAAAAAAAAAAAAAACACTATTGATTTTTTGTGTACTGATGTTTTATCCTGTGACTTGCTGAACTTATTCTTGGAGGCTTTTGGTGGAGTTTTCGGGATCTTCTCTGTAGAGGATCACATTGTCAGTGAATAAGGATAGTTTGACTTCTTCCCGTCCTGTACATATCTCTTTTCTTTCTTTCTCTTGCCTGATCATGCCGGCTAAAGTACCAAGCACTACGGTGAACATGAATGGTGACAGTGGACCACCTTGTCTTATTCCTTATAGAAATAATCCTTGATAGCAGTTTAATGTATTTCTTCTCTGAAATTTTCTATGAAAACACACTTACACTCGCACATACATCCATAAGCACACTCAGACATACTTGCACATACAAACACACACACACACACACACACACACACACACCCCTCTTGGACAGTTGGGGATAGGCCTGGGTTCTGCTGGCTGCTTATCCTCCCTCAAATTAAACTATGTTCATTTCTGTGAGTTGGCCTCTTTCACGGTTTCAAGACACATGCTTGTTACAAGTAGAGCAGGAAGTATAGTTTGTTTTTCAGCCTTTCAAACGTGAGATGCCTAAGATTAAGGATCTTTCCAAGGTAAATAAATCTCTGTGTCTGAACAGCCTGTCACTACCCTGGGGCAGGCAACCAGCTCATCTTAGAGAACAATTCTACACTTCTGTGTATGGCAAGTAACCACTGGTGCGGACTCAGACAGGTCATTCATAGGACTTTCAAACACAGTAGTCTGATTCCTTGTAACTGAGTCTGCCAAGATAAGCATGGTATTTCCCCATGATAAAGAAGGTGTCCAGAAGGAGCTTAGAGACCACAGCGGCACTCTCAGCTCGGATTCCTGCCAGGTGCTGCCTTGCACACAACATTTAACCATCTCTAACGTTTATAAAGAATGTGAAAAATGTGTCTAATGCCAGTCTCCATAATGACAGCTAAAGGCATTGCATTCTTACTGTGATCTGCGCACTTTACGCGCATTAACCCACGAAGCCCTGGGAACAGCGCCCTGTGTAGGTCCCATTATTCCCCACTTTACAGATGGAGGAGCTAAGACACAGAAGTTGCTATGCTCGCGTGTCTAGTACATGGAAGAGCAAGATGTGAATGCTGGTAGTGTGGCTTCTGCGGCCCTTCCTTTCCTTCACTTTATCTATGGTGCCCCTTAGTCACCAGTGTCACCGTTACGGAGTGACATGTTTTTAGCATCCAATTATAATGCCTGGAATTGCTGACTTTGTAGAGCTCCCACTGAGAGCAAGGAGCCCGACGTGTTATCCAGTGTTAATTCCGTAGCTGCTGTGATCGTAGGACCGGGGGCAACATGACTGCGCCTTACTAGAGATTTCAGCGCAACACCTGGGAAACAGCTGCAGGAACCCAGGCGGCCGCCAGCTGGACCCCTCACTCGGAGGCTCCTCGGGAGAGCAGATGGTCTCCATCCCAAGCCCACCAGAGATAAGAATCCGAGCCATACATCAGTGGCGTTCAATGGGTGGCTGTTTGGCATGGGGTCTAGAAGTGCTCAGTGCCTGCTTTGATTAATCACATGTATCCACTGAGTCTCCCAAGAGAATTATATGCACACGGTTGATGGCAGTGACAGGAACTCAGAGCACTGCTTCCTTCTTGCCTTGTAATCTTCACCCCCAACACTGAGAAATCTGATAAAGCCTGTTAGGAAACCACAAGGCCTCGGGACTTCTCCTCCCCCAGTGCCAGTCTTACTACCAGATGGTACGGACCCTGGAGGAAGGGCGTCCCTCAGTTGTCTGAGAGCCCTGTGGCAGGAAATAAAGGGAGAGAGTGACTGAGAGAAGAGAGCGAGAGCAAAGCAGCCCAGGTCCTTCCTGCCACCACTAACAGATTCTACCACACAGTCATCCTGGTCGCTAGTGAGTGTGGACATCAGATCTGGTATCCAACCACTGTAGCATCAGGCTAGGGCAGTCATGGACATCACAGTATGACTGAGGGGGTGAGGACTTTAAAGAAGACTATAAGGAAATATAGCAAGTGATTGTGTCTAAATGGTAAGATTTTAGTATTTTGGCACTTATTTTTAGAATTTCTCATAATAAGCACAAATGCATTACTTTCAAAATGGAAAGATATATTTAACTTCTAACCCAAGAACAGGATCAAGTACAGTGTTAGACAAATTATGCTTGCTGGAATAGCAGTGAAAAAAAGCATCTGTGAAGTTTTACCATCAACGGAGGCTTTGGGAGGAAAGCAGCCATCTAGCAGCCTTAAGACTGGGAATGATGCTGGGAGTGGTGGCGCATGCCTGTAACCCCAGCACCCAGGAGGCTGAGGCAGGAGGATCCATGAAAGTTCAAGGCCAACATGGGCTGCAAAGTGAGTTCGAGGCCAGCCTGAACTACATAGTGAAACCCTGTCTCAAAAAGAAAAAAGAGAGGAAAAAAAATGCTGAGAGTGATAGAAACTCTGTTGTTTTTACTGCATCAAATTTACTGGTTTGTTGTGGTTTGCAGCTTCCGTGGAGTGGGTGTGACTTTCATCTCTGGCTCGGATGTCAAGGCCCTGGGACTGAGAGCTCTATTTCTTTTCACCTCTCTTGTTTATCCCCTATTTCATCCACTACCTAGGAAATCACTGCAGGAGCTCAGCTCAGCTTGGTTAGTCAACCGCACCAGCATGGTCCAACTACTTGTCGAAGCCAGCAGGCGCTCTGAGCTATGAGTTATACATCAAATAACCAAGCTAATGTCATATTCTCCCTGTCTCTCCAGCCCCTCCTCAAAGATCAGCTGAGGAACCTCATGTGGAGACAGATTTGACCGCCCCGGAAAAGGAAGACGATGAGATGAAAGTTGAAGTCAAGGTAAAATCACCATGTATGGATAGAAATTTCTGATAGGAGAGATCACTGCTGTAATTACCGGTAAATCAACCAGCTGTGTTCCCTACCACGCTCTGAAGTTGCGTCCGTGACGGCGTGTAGTACAGACCAGAGCTCTCAAGAGCCAAGGAGGATTTTTTTCTTCTTTTTCTTTCTTTTTAATTGCGACTACAAATGTATACTGTTTAATCATGTAAGTAACTACTGGTAGATATTGCTTTATTGAGGAAGAAGTCATTTTATTCATTCCTGTAATCTGACTCATAGTTAAAGTTGGGAAAACTGTGTAGAAAAGAGCATGAAAGTTGCTTAGAGCTGCACGCACTCACACACACACACACATGCGCGCACACGTGAGCTCTGAATAAGCTCAGGCAATGGCACCCATATGAATTTCTTGGTGTTGATATTACACTATGGTCCAATGAGGTGTTAACATGGGAGGAGGTGGGGGAAGGGCATGGGGACTTCCCCATGTGTTTCTTTGCTGCTTCCTGTGACTATACAATTACTTCAAAATAAAAGAAAAAAGGTGTAAGCTTTGGAAATCAGGCAGACCTGGGTTAAAGCCACATCCCTTCTCTAAGCCTCAGTTTCTTGTCTGTAAAAATAAGGATGACAGGACCTAGGTGTGGTGGCACACATCTGTAATCACAGCGCTCTGGGCAGCTGAGGCAGGAGGACTGCAAGTTGAGGGGCATTCCCTCTCCACCACCGTCCCCTGCCCTACCCCCTGGCAACTTAGCAACTTAGCAAGAACCTATCTCAAAAGAAAAAATAAATTTAAAAAACAGCTGAGGGTATAGCTCCGTGTGAAGGCTCTGGGTCCAATCCCCAGCACTGGAAAAACAAACAAACAAACAACAACAAAAGACAGCTCCCTCCTAAGACTAGTTTGAGCATGAAATGGAAATTGAAAAATCTCCCAACACCATGTACTTGGGAAGGAGCATTATATTTACAAACCCAATTAAAATGAATTGTGATAGAAAATTGGGTGTTTAAAATTTTTTAAATTTATTACAGTACAAGACATTGCCTTTAATCCCTGTCAAAATCCTCCTCCTCATTTGGAACACACTCGCCCGTCGCTCTCGCCGCTTCCTGAAGCAGTTCTAGAGGTCCTTTTTTGTGAGTGTCTTTAGCTGCGCTGTTGTGGCTGCCTTGATGCCCGGTATTGATTCAAAATATTTCCCTCCCGTGGTCACTTTGACTTTGAGGAAGAGCCAAAAGTTCCAGGGTCCCAGACCTGGTGAGTAGGGCGGCTAAGGACACACTGTGGTGTTTTTATGAGCCCGCCTTTCTGCTAGACGGAACTCAGCGGTAGCAGTCACTGTATTTTTATCACGCTCCATAAAGACTTCCAGAACTGCTTCAAAAAGTGGCGAGAAGAATGGAATACACGTATTCAAAGAGGGGGGATTAATGGCAATGTGTTTCTACCGTAATTTGTGTTACATAGAAACATTCCCTGTATGTTCTGATCACCCCTTGCATGCTGATACATAGCAATCCAAGAAAGGTTTCCTTTCCCACCCTGAAAATCCGCCATCCCGCTGGACTGTGGTCCTGAGGTCAGTGGATCATGGGCTCAGCGAAACTTCAGCAACAGTTGGATCCATCGTCTGCACAGAAGCCACAGAACTCCACTAACCCATCAGGAGCCAGGCTGAGAGCGAGTCAGGCTTTTCTTCCCGAGCCAGAAACTGTGGGAACTGAAGTTCCCAGCTGATCTCTTATAGAGAGGAAGCTGCATTTGTCTGCCAACTTGTTAGTCATCCTCCTGAACTTGGGACAGATTAGGATGCCGCCAGTGCTTCTCCTGTGAATTCCGTGCTTGGAGGAGTTGCATCACCGTGTCTCCTGGAGTTAGGAAACCCTTTGCAATTTCATACTGCATGATCAGCCACCTAGAGAAGGGAGTAGCAATCTTTTGAAATGGGTAAATATAATGGAACTTCTCCTGACTTGACCCTCACAAAGTGCATGGAATCATTAAGTAACATTCAAAAGGTTTAACCGTGGTCATCTTCAAAAATAAACGCTGGCCTATCCCTTTCTGTACCTTGGTCTCCGGAGAGAACATCACGTCTGCAGGTGAGGGTGTGTCCTGTGAACCAAAGCCTGGATCTGGCCCCGGAACTCATATGCTCTTACTGTTCACTGTGACAGGTTTCAGCAGGATTCCTGTCTCTGTGATTCACTTGGGTCACCTTGAGACAGCACACATTTATGGCCTGCACACTCTAGAAGATGCCATGGGAATTAGTACATGGAGGTTCTCTGTAAGAAAATTCAAATTGGAGTTAATTATCCCCGTAGTTGTGAGTGGTAAATGTGAAATCTATTATTTTATCTGTTGAACAAAATAGATAAGCAGAGATAGGAACTGAATCAGAGGCCTAAAGCCTTGGAGAGCACTGTGGAGAGCCCTCGGAGCACTGACCACTGGACTTCTAGCCACTTCCTTCCCCTGCTGTGCTGCTTATTTCATTCAGACTCCACGACAGTCCTCCGGAGAGGCTGCCAGCTCTGTGTGCAGACAGATCGCATCTCAGCAAGCACAGCGTGGGTTAAAGTCGTGTTTCTCTGCTTTAATTGTTTTCCTTCCTGTTAACTTGCTTGTGTATTTAATGAAGGGCTTTTCCCACAACTGCGTGTATGCTAACAGTCAAGGTGGTAGAGGAAACGGGGTAGGAACTGCGGCTTGTAAAGATCTTGGCTGCAAGAAGAAATATAAAACCATAAAATCAGGAACAACACGAAGAAGAATAAAGTGGATTATACACAAAATCCCCAGATCCTAGACTGAAAAGTTAATTCAGGACCAATAAATGTGATGAATGTTTTGTAAGCTGGGTTGTACTACCAGGAAAATCGTTATTCTAAAATATGTAAGGAAACTAATAAGGAGGAAAAGGGTGTAGATTCATGTGTGCGTGGACCATAGGTTCTTACAGGGGAACAAGGCAGGGACTAACCCCAGCACTGACAGACAACCAGGATGGGCGGAGCGTGCCGCTTGCTCTGAGGGGCAGTTCTGCAATCCTCTTGGCCTTAGGCCTAGAATTGAAATACGAAATGATTTCCCAGCCAGTGTAACAGAGTGAGTCATCCTTTGTGATGCTCCCTCTTATCCTGAAGTGTAAATACTTCGAAAAAAAATAGCTCTGAATCACAACAATTCGCGCTTGCTCCTAGATTCACTGCTACTTCTGTCTGGAAGTAAGAACCTGGCACGGCGGGCCAGTTACCAGCAGATTCATTCCCCAGAAGGACACCCCCTCTCCCCGTGGATATGCGTCAATTCTTGATATATGACAAGCCCAAACTGACAAGGTGGCTGAGATTGTCCCCTGGGGCATGTGGCAGTGGTGCCCCCATGTGCCAACCTGACTGGGAAAGCCCAGAGGTGGAAGTGACACTGTGGTTACTGGCAGTGAGACAGCTCTTTCCACTTCTTTACATCACAACAGGAAGCGTGACTTCTGGGAGCAGCTTTCCCGGGCTGTCACACCACAGCCTCTTCCGGAGACAGAAGCCCGGAGCTGCCGAGAACACCTTTCTTCCTGAGGTGAACCCACAGGACACAAGGAAGGGCAAACGGTGTTCTGGGCACTTGTCCAAGCCTACAGTAGCAGAGGCCTTTCCTGGCTTCTGCGCCAATAGGCTCTCCAATCTAAAAAGATATGGATATTATAAAGCAGAGGCTAGAGGGGAAGGGAAAGGCGAGAGGACCATCGCCACCCCTGACTGAGGCCAGACCTTGTGCGGGGCCGTGGACCAGACTCCATCTCCCGCCCTCAGAGCCTGTGAGGGGCTTAAAACTAGTAGTTTATTAATCTAGCAGTTTACTTTTGCACCTAACCTAATTTACCTATGTGATTATTTATTAATCTACCAAGCCTGCAGTTCACTTAATCTCTTACACCCTAAAGCTCTCTTCTGCAAGATGAAGATAAATAACAACTTCATGGGTGGTTACTTCAACGAGAAGCACATGGAAAGCACCCAGCGGGATGAGGGTAGCTGACGCATACCATGTTCTTAGAAAATTTTAGCTCCTCCTTAATCCTGTGTCTATAGACAGAATGTTCTGGGTAAAAACTGAGAACAAGCTGAAGGAAGATGAGATTCAGGCCCTAAGTGGGATTCTCCTACCCTTTTTGCCAAAGACTAACAGATCAAAGGTCATCATTAGTTCCTTTATTTTCACGCTGTGACTCCCACAAGTTTTTATTTAAGTTTTCTGCCTCAGCTATGAGCATACTTCCGCACTCGCCTTCTAGCGTCAGAGCTGACGAGGGATTCAAGGCTGCCAGCAAGTGCCTGAGGCAGCGGCAGCCACGCCCGCTGGGGTTTCCAGGTTGGAGATTCTCAAAGCTTTCTGCACACCTCAGCTTGGAGACGCTCAGTGTTGCAGATTCCCAGGCACCACCACAAAGATCTCAAACCAAGGAGGTCTGGGGTTAGGCGCAGGGATCTGAATTCTCAACTTGGATACTCGGGACAAGGATCCCATTTCTCTAACCTCAGGCCTCAGGCTGCATTCAGAGGTCATGGAGACTTGGGATGAAGGAGAACTCAGCAGGTTGGATCTGGTCTCTGGGGTTAATACAGACTTCAACATTTAGAGGAGACAATTGGTGACTGTATTAAACTATGAGAATTTATGTTTACTGAGGAAGTGGAATAAGAAAAAAGAGAGACTGGTGTTAAGATCTGTTGGCCTTGACCTTTGACCTATAATTTTTTTTATTTTAAAGAGACCAAGAACAATAAAAATGATACACAATTTCAAAACAAGATGATAGGAAATTAACAATGGTTATTGACTCTGGCTAGAATATTTGATGGATCTCATTTGGGGAGCTTATTTAGCTCAATTTAATGTATTTTAGGGCAACTGCTATGTATCATATGAGAATTATTTTATCATTGAGCCTAAACTCGGGAAGTTTGCATGGTCCACAAGGGAAAGG